TTTCCCTTGACAAGTTTCAATGGATGCAACAGGCCTGACAAGTAATTTCTAATGTGCTGAAACTGTAGATGATTGAAGGCTACCCACCATTTTCTACAAAGCAAGATAATGAAGTTCCTAAAGTATATGCTGCTATGGTGCGTCCACCTTTTAGAGCTCCAACTAAGCATTATGCACATGGGCTGAAAGAGTAAGTCTTACTTTCATCTTTGATGTTATGATATAGTTTTTTTACTAGCGTACTTATTTTTCTTTATTGTTAATACACTTGCATTTGGATTGACAACATCAATGTAATTTATAGTTTGGCCTTGGCCATCAAGGTAATTTTTATAGCTAGACTTGCTACATTGCCATGTGACCAGAAAAGGGTTAGATAAAACAGATAGAAAAGAGAACTCAAAGACAGAAGCTCAGAATTGAATTTCTATTCCTGTCAAAGTGATGTATGTATCTAGTTTTATACCAATATAGATTTTTAATCTCATGTTTTTTTTTCAGGTTGATTGAAGGTTGTTGGAATGATGTACCTGCCAAGCGTCCCACGTTCAGACAGATAATAATAAGACTGGAATCCATTCAAAACAGCTTTAGTCATAAAAGGCGTTGGAAGGTATATTCATTCATGTTTGGATTATAAATTTGAACATGGTAGAGTATATACTAATATTATTCTTTAGGAAGAATACTTGTAAAGGCTTGGCTATTTATAACCTAGGGATCCTGGTACTTTGGACTGGGGACATTTGCTACATGGACTCTACCCAACACCTCTAACAGTTATTTTGGTCCCCTTTCAAGATACTATTTAGTTCCTTTATGTAGACTTAACTCTTGTTTTTTTTTTTTTTGGCCAACTTTATGTAGACTTATTCAATAGTTGTCATCTTTGAACCAACGGTGTTTTGCTTTTCATATTTACAGGTTAGACCACTGCAATGCTTCCAGAAAGTGGAGGCATTGTTGAGGAAAGATCATTCCAATCCAAGCAGCCGCGGTGGTGCATCCCGTTCTGTTGGCAGGAGTATATAATTGGACTGACAATTGGTCCTAGTTTCAAAGTGTGCAGAACTCCACTCCTTTCAAGTTTGATGCGTGAAAGACAGGTTTGTAATCAAGAGCATACCATTTTTCTTCTGTTTTAGCTTGCTTGTAGTAGTTGAATTTAACATTTTCCACATTAGCTAAAACTCTCCCATTCAATTTGTGGGCCGAGAATCACAGTTCAAACACCATATATTTCTCTGTAATATTATTGTACATTATGCAGGTGTTGTAATTCATAGTTCATATTTTAACAACCGTTGAAAATAAGATTGGATCGTATTGTATCGTAGCGACTAGCGAGCCATGATACAAACAAGAAATCTTATGCATGAACCAAAGTTGGGGTCAGTGTGTTCGGTGGCGAAATTGACGGGAGATGTTGATTTTTCTAAGCGTCAGTTTCACGGAATGAGACAATTAATGAAGGAGGAATGCTAGGGGCACTCGCCTCCTGCACTCTACGGCCAACACTTTCTCTTTTATTGGGCCACGTTATTTTGGTTTCGGAGAGGTTGCGCCTGAAAGCTTTAAAGAAGCTTACGTGGCCCAATGAAAGGGGAAGTGTTGGCCGGAGAGTGCAGAAAGGGAGTGCACCTAGCACTGCTCAATGAAGCGTACCTTAAGGAAAGTAGAATTCCAAAAAAATGAAAGTCATGGCGGGTTATGAACTACTAGAATTTCATCCAACCAGGATTCCTATATGAACCCTAAAATCACACATTGTGTGCAAATTCAGCAAGGCAAATGAAAATCTTGTTATGATTTCTACTTGGGGCAAAAGAGAAATACAAAGCATTCTTTGATATTATGGGTCATGAATCTTGACTCTGTTTGTGCCTCTTGGATGCCCCTTTTTTAACTAAAACCTACCCAAATACAGGTAGAACTTAGAAACTGCTTAGACGTTGCATCCCAGTAAACTTTTTGTTTTGGCCTTGCAGCTCAGTAGTTATGAAAATAATAATTTGTATATAGAATTGGGTATTTTACATGTACCCACTTGGAAAAGAAGATGCAGTAAATGAGACCCCAAGTTTTTAGACCTTGAATTTTCAACTAGAGATTTAGGTTTCAATTTGACTATGAAACGGATGAAAAAGGGTTGTAAAAAAAGTAGTATATCTTATGGTATAATCTATCATTTAACATATCAAAAAAATACCATAAGCCTAAGTTGCCAAGCTACCTACCATTGCCAACGAATTGATGAAACGAGTTTGGACAAGATTCTTAATAGTACTGTAACTTCATGTAACTTTTTATACAACATATAAGTATCTAAATCTTTAGTTGGATCAGTCATATTATTGTATACAAACAAATCTCCACTAAAAGTAGAAGGATGTTCTTTTTGAATTATTTGCACTTAAATAATAATGAAGAGATTTGAATCTACATTTTCTACATGATTTACATTACATTTTACCACTCATGTCAACCTCCAATTTGTTCTCTAACTTCATATATAACTTATAAA